TGGGGTGAGAGAGACAGCCATAGAAGAAAAGGAAGTTGGTTCTTTGTATTTCCAGAGAAAACGGGAAATTGTTTTGTTGAAGATTTAAACTGATATATCAGGGCAGAACCAGATCCTCCAGCTTCATATTACTCTGGAAGTTTATTGTTCCCAAAGTGATTTGGCACAGGTATTTTCCACTTTCACTTAACATAGTAACTGCATGTCTAAAACCAACCTTTGCAAAACCAACCAGGCTATATTGGCTCTATAAAATAACATCCTAAGGCACTGAAAAATATGATTTACAAAAATCTACTTTTTCACAGGACCCTTTAGAAGCACAGTTTTTATAAAAAGTGAATACTCCTGGACTCAGGCATAAAAAAACTAGTCAAGATATATAATTTCGTGTGGTTCAAAGAAATTGTACATTTATATAGAAAACAAGGACTTTGTATAAAAAAATTCACTGTTCATGGATCTGGTTTTACCTAAAATTATATTATTTGCAATTGTGCTCATCCCACAAATGTTGATACATGAACTGCTGTGATCTTTATATATCAAGTCAACAACTATTCCATGCCTTTTATATGCCCCAAATTATACCATCTCTGTAAGAGGTTTAGAGACAGGTTATGCATACTGCATGTGGATTTCAACTGTATCCCCCAATGACGCAGGTTCTTTCAGGTCATAAATGGAGTGCCTTTGTCTTCTAATGATCCATGTGATCTGTAGCAGAAATTTTCCATATGGAGACCAATAGAACGACCAACTGTCCAGGTTTGCCCAAGACTGAGAGAGTTTCAGGGATGTGAGACTTTCAGTGTTAAAACTGGAAGGGTCCCAGGCAAAGTTGAATAAGTTGGTCATCTTACAGAGCTGAGGAAGAAATGAAATTAGTATATTATATTAGTGTAATACTCATTTTAATTCTGGTCACCAATTCCAATGTGTGGAGATTTTTCCCACACCGCCAAGTAACTCTCCAACATCAGCTGGGCATCCTGCAATTCAATTCAATCTGATACTATGTACCCAGAGATAGCATCACATCTCACAGGATGAGGGCTCAGTTCTACAAGTCTGCACCCCCACTTCAGATGTTCATCATAAGGCTAGATTGTCACCTGTGCTTCTGACCCACCAGCTATAGGTTGGAGGTTCCAACAAACCCTGGGTTCAATTAATTTGCTAGAGCAGATCACAGAACTCAGAGGAACATTTTATTGACTAGATTACTGGTTCCTTATAAAAGGATGTAACTCAGAAACAGCCAGATGGAAGAGATAGATGCATACAGCAAGCTCCAAGGGAAAGGGCATGGAGTTTCCATGCCCTCTCCAACCCACCACTCTCCCTGCATCTCCATGTGTTCACCAACTCAGAAACTCTCCAAATCCCCCTCCTATCCCTTTAGATTTTTATGGAGGTTTCACATAGGCATGATTGATTAAATCACAGGCTATTGGGAGATGGAACTCAATCTCCAGCTCCTTTCCCCTCCTGGGAGGGCAGGTAGGGAGGGTGAGAAAGAGTGAAAATTCCAGCTCTACAACCACAGGGCTGGATCCCCTGACAACCAGCCCGCACCCATCCTCAGGTGCTTCCAAAAGTCACCTCATTAACGTAACAAAAGCACCTAGAGCCTTCTCATCCTTTAGGGAATTCTAAGGGTTTTAAAACCTCTATGCCAGAAATGGGGACGAAGACCAAATATATATTTCTTAGTATAAATTATGACACTCACACACATGCTTGTCCTCTTTCTTCTCTCTCTTTCTCTCTCTCTCCCTTCTCATCCCATTGCACTCTCTTAGAACCAGAACCTAGCTTCCAGGTAGATCTAAGTCTAAGTTCCAGCTTCACCATGACTTCTTTAAAAATCGTGAACAAATAATTACACTTGTCCAGTACTGCTTCCTTATTTGTGAAATACCAAAAACTATGAGGTCATGACAACTGAGAAAATGTCTGGCACATCCATCACATTTTCTATACGTTAAGCATGATTATCTCACAGATCATGTAGTTATGGACACTTCAGACTTCCAGTGTTCTGGTCCGAGTTAGACTGATTTCAGGATACTCTGTGGGCCAGCTGGGATTAACCCTTCCACCACAGGGCATTTGCTGGGCCATAAACAGATCAATCCTTGGTCCTTTCATTAGTATAAAGCCAAGAAATGAGTAGAGCTGAAGCAACATCCTGTTTACACAGAGCATTTTCAGTTTTCTGCCCCAGTCTCTTCAACCAAGGCCCTTGCATTATTGTTTACATATGCATCACACACACACACACACACATACACACACAGAGGTTTTTATACTGTTGATATGGCAGAAGCCAAATAAAAATGGTTTCGCTCTGTTTCTTGACAATTTAGGAAGTATGAGGAAAAATGATGTGGTGCTCAAGAGGGACTAAACAATTGGAGAGCCAGGGCCGGGGGGGTGGAGGAGGGGTAGTCCTGGGAAGACAATGTGCAGAAAGGAGACACTTTTGTCACAGGGTTCCTCCTAAGAGCAGCTAGGAAGCCCCACCATTCAGTATGTGTGACCTCCTGGTAATTTCCCTGGGGAGTCCCCCCTCGGAGAACCTGTACCCCCAGATTCAAGAAGAAGCTGAGCTAGGTAAATTCCCAAGCAGGGCTGCTGGGTGGGCAGTGACCTAAAGACAGGCTGGAACAAGTTTCCAGGCGGGTTTCCCCTTCCTGCTCGGATAGCCCCAGATGTGAGCTCAGCCAAGAAGAGGGGGGATGCCGTGGCCAGGGACTATTGGTGGTATTTTCCTTTGTCTCTCAGCTTCCTGTGTTTGAAGTGAAGGAATCTGAGACTTTCTGTGACCACTCTTGTTGTCTGGGATTCTTTCCTCAAGAGGTGTTCATGAATTTGTGAGGATTGCCAGGAAATAGTGTGAGTCATGGCTTCTGAGCAGACAACATTAGGTTTTAGAAATTCCCAGAGATATGACTTGTTTATAAGAAAGGAAACAGCTATTCTGAGCTGCCAGGAGAAGAGGAAAACACTGCTCACTTTTTTTTAAATGCCATGTTTAAAGGTCATCCAAGTGGCCAGAGTATCAGCAAGAGCCTGGTATAGACTCTGATGTTAGACTCTGATGTTAGCAGTTCATTTGTCTACATTTTAGAGGATATTTTGGGGATTGGCATTTAAAATGCAAGACCCATGGCACTGAAATTCCACTCTTGGTCTGAAACCCAGAGGCACCAGCAGACTCCACAGGCAAGCTGAGGGGTTGTCGAGCCTGGCTGAGGGAGCACAGCCTGCTCCTTCATTTGGAGGGAGAGATGCACCGACTAGGCCCCACTTTTGACAACTTCCTAACCTCATATTTCTTGAGCAGGCCACTGAGTTTCATTCCCATGGTAGGGGAAGTTAAAATTTCCTCCACCCTCCTACCACCTCCGGCTGGGAAGTGACAGAACAGGAGAGTATTGGGAGAAAAGTGTATACATTTTATTTACATGGTAACAGGAGCCTCCACAAGAAAGATGTAGCCCCAAAGAAGTGACTAGGCCTAAGCGCTTATGCTCTGGGTTGAACAAAGAATAACAATTGTAGAAAAGGAGCTATACTATAACAGGAGAATAGAGGAAGATCTGTTTATATGAAATTATCTCAGTCGGGGAGTCCCCTTCTCTGACAATGCTGTTTCTTTCTTCTAATACAGGAGGGCAACTTTCACCTGAGAATGTTATCTCCTGCTTCTAGGAAGAAAAAGAAATGTCAGATTGCTCTTCTTGCCTCTGCTGTTTTCAATTCAAAGTAATCAATATGGCAAAGCCACCTATTTTGGGGTGGCATGTCCTGAACTCTTTCTATATATTACATGCTGCCCCCTGTAATGTCTTTTCTCCTTAGTCTGAACAACTGTGATGTCAGCTGCCAAGACCTGAAAGAATTGTTCAAAGCTACCAACTTTGGAGAACGTACCCAAGAAGAGGACGTCAGGGGGATTCCCTCCCGCACCTTCGGCTTCTGCGTCGGCCCACTTTCCTAAGCGTGGCCGTGGGCACTGAGGTATTCAAGCTCACAGTGACATGGTGTACACATTTACCACTGTTAGCAGAGCCAGCCTGCTGCCCACAGAGACTGATCTGCAAGGAAAAAATAATCCACCGAGTATTCACGATTCAATAATAATTAACTTAGGTGATAGTTTCATAGACACCACATTTGATCAAATCAACACCTTTTCCTAATTATAAAGTAAACAATTGAATAAACTGGAAGGAGACCCCTGGAATGTGATAAAGGTACTCTTGGCTTAAAATAAATAAAGATTATATTTACTAGGCAAACACTGGAAATATCCAAAATCAGGAACAAACACACACAAAGAATATCCTCTAGTGTCATCACTTTAGATTCTCTGGCTAGGGCAGTAAGTTGTGAAACAAAAGGATTCAGTTAGGTGAATTAAGATAATGATGTACTCCAAGATGTCCATCGACAGATGAATGGATAAAGAAGATGTGGTATATATATACAATGGAATATTATGCAGCCATCAAAAGGAATGAGATCTTGCCATTTGCAACGACGTGGATGGAACTGGAGGGTATTATGTTGAGTGAAATAAGTCAAACAGAGAAAGACATGTATCATATGATCTCACTGATATGAGGAATTCTTAATTGCAGGAAACAAACTGAGGGTTGCTGGAGTGGGGGGTGGGGTGGGAGGGATGGGGTGACTGGGTGATAGACACTGGGGAGGGTATGTGCTCTGGTAAGCGCTGTGAATTGTGCAAGACTGTTGAATTACAGATCTGTACCTCTGAAACAAATAATGCAATATATGTTAAGAAAAAAAAAAGAAGAAGAAGAAGGTAGCGGGAGGGGAAGAATGAAGCAGGGGAAATCGGAGGGGGAGACGAACCATGAGAGATGATGGACTCTGAAAAACAAACAGGGTTCTAGAGGGGAGGGGGGTGGGAGGATGGGTTAGCCTGGTGGTGGGTACTGAGGAGGGCACATTCTGCATGGAGCACTGGGTGTTACGCACAAACAATGAATCATGTAACACTTCATCTAAAACTAATGATGTAATGTATGGGGATTAACATAAGAATAAAATAAATAAATTAAAAAAATAAAAAAGATAATGATGTACTCGAAAATCACAGAAGTATGTAACTGGGAAAACCAAATAAATTAGTTAAAAGTGTTCTTAATTAATGAAGAGCCATAAAATGGCTTGGAATAAGAGAAATACCAAAAAAGGAATAGTATTCCTTATGTATTCCCAATAACCAGAGATGATAAAACAGAAAAGAAGCTATTCCAATAGAAACAAATATAAAATACCTACAAATTCAGTGAGAAATGGATTAAATTTTTTAAAACCTTCATTGAGAGGTTTTAATAATAAGAAGAGTTACATTTTTACTAGATGGAAAAATTCAACATAAAGATGCCAAGACTTCTTAACCTTAAATTATTAAAATAATTCTATCCAAAACTGCAACAGGACTCTTCTTAGAAGTCGTTAAAATTGGCACTAATTCCCAAGCTTGGTGCATTACCTTATAACGACGGCTCAAAACTCTAAACAGGAAAAACTAGCAAAACACATTCTTAGGCATTAATCCTGTCAGATACCAGACCCTTTTGTAAAACATCCATAATTAAAACTGTGAGTTTGATATAAATAGAAAAACATAAACCAAAGGAAAGTAATAAGAAACCCTGGAACAGACCTTGTTATATATATGGGTCACATTTATAGATGGCTTTATAGTTTACAAAGCTTTCTACTGCATTCTCTTTTATGCTTCAAAACCATGCAGTGAAACAAATATTATTATTATTATCCCTATTTCTTTATGAAGCAAATGATAATCAGAAACTAAGTGACTTGCCCAACATAATAAAACCAAGATGAACTTTGACTTGGACCCAGATTTTCTGACTTCCCAAAGCAGGCCTCTTTTTACTGTATTGTTCTCACAAAGTAATCATGAATGGCCTTTTTTTCTTTTTCTTTTTCTTTTCGTTTTTGTCCAAAGAGAAAGAGCGTGAGTGGTGGTGGGAAGGAGAGGGAGAGAAAGAATCTCAAGCAGACTCCCCGCTCAACTTGGAGCCCGACACGGGGCTTGATCTCACAACCCAGAGATCGTGACCTAAGCCAAAATCATAAGTCAGATGTTTAATTGACTAAGCCACCCAGCTGCCCCTTTTCTTTTTTTTAAGCAATGTTGAAATTTGGGGGAAAAAATTTAGACTTGTTCCTGATACCACATACCCCTCCTTTAAAAAAAAAAAAACTGTTTCTGTTTAAAGATTTCATTACTAAAAATCAAATTATGGAAACTTTGACCAAAAAAATACATAGAGCTAAGAGGCTAAAGTGATGTCTGTGATGGCCCCTCACTGAGCCCACTCAAGAAGTAGGAAATACAGCTTTTCCCACTCACTCCTGTTCCCAGTCCATGCAAACCCCATCCACTGCAGAGGAACTTCCCATTATTATGAAGATGTAGAAGTTCCCAAAGTGAAGTCAAAACTCTCTAGGAAACCACTACTAAAAGAAAGTGTAGTCAGTCCCTTCCTAGGGAAGGATAGAATGACCAGAGAATGACCAATTGGGAGCACCTAATAAGGAGTAAGAACCAACCTAAAAATCAAAACAGATTAAGCAACTAACCCATAGTTCATCCTATTGTGTGCAGCAACTATTCAACTCTGACATTGTAGCAAAAAAGCAAGGGTAGACGATAAACAAACGATAGCCTTAAATGAATGGGCATGATAGTGTTCTAGTAAAATTTTATTTCCATAAATCGATAGCACGCACACTACACTACACTTGGACAACTCCTGTGTTAGACTGTTTAAAATTAGTCAGCCCTTAAAAAAATAAAATCAGTTCTCCAAAATACCCCTTAGATAAGAAATCGGAAGCCACAAGAGGTTACTCAACTTGACCATTTGACAGAATAAGACAGACACAGATCTTCTCTTCAGTGAAGTGGGCAGAACTAGAAGTTCAACTCAGGTCTTTCGACTCAAAAGCTGGAAAATGAGTCGTCTTGTTGGACAGCCTCCTATGACTTGGGTACGCTAACTGGATCTTGTAGATGTGAAATCTCAGGAGGTGGAAAAGGACCCCAAACAGGTTGAGTTTAATGAAACAAACACTTGTCTCACGGAACCAGGAAGGGATGGTGTGCATGATCTGTGTTGTGAGGCATTTCAGGTGGCGGGAAGCTCTGAGCGTCCTCCTTGACCTCAGACGCCCCACAGCCATCACAGACATGAACTCCGCTCCTCTGAGCGCAGAGTGCCGTGGGGTTGTGGAGAGAGGTGTGCTTGCATGTGTGAGAGGTGCAGGCAGATTGGTGGTTGTTTACGGAAACCAGGAAATCCCAAAAACTAAAGCGATCCAGAGCAATTCATTTAACTTCTTTGAGCCCAACCTTCCTTTGTGTAGAATGGAAATGTCTTTCCTCGTCCTCTCTCTCTCTCTTTTTTCCCCAGGATGTCAGAATAATAAAGCAGGAAAAAAACTGTGTAAAGTTCATTGGTACCTCGGGGAGACGTGTCATAAAATGACACAGTCTTATTGTCACCGGATATCTCATGACTTCAGCTGGCTCCAGCCCTTTGCATTTCCCTTTCGGCAGGGAACTTGGCCATCTTTACATTTAACACATCTCTGTGGAGGGAGCAGCACTATTAAGCTGGTACTTTGACAACCAAATCGACAAGAGACCAGGATATATGACATAGAAAGGTGAAAGGACAGTGACGAAGGGGAGCAAATGAGCTTTTAAACAAGCCTGACACCATCCAGCTAGTTTTCATATCGCTTCCCGTGAAAAATCTTGACATATTGGTACATTGCTATGAGTTATTTCTTCATATAACTGGGTATAGTGGCCTAACATTATTTGATCTTGTAGAGTGTTATCTGGGACTACAGACTTATTTTATTTTAACTCAATGACATTTCATCAACAGCTAACATAGCATGAGTAGCTAAAACTCACTCCAGTACGGTACCAGAGGATTTTGCTGTTTTATTTTTGTTCGAATAGATAACTCTCTGACATTCTCTGTTTTTGTTAGTTTCTGTTTTTACTCACCTTTGTGTGTTTTGAGCCACATTTTTTTAGTCCAGTATTACATATATGATTTATTTCACCACAAGATTTATTTATTACCTGTAATAATGAAAATTAATTCACTTAATTTGCCCACGTCAGCTACATCCAAAAAGGCAAGACATTTCTCTTGGTCGTGCTTAGTGGGAGTAGAATGGAAAGGAGATGGGGACAGTCATTAAGGACTCTCTGGGAAGGTTCCATGCTGCTCCACCTCTGCCCTGGGCGAGGAGAACGGGGCTCAAACACAGACAGGGCTTGTGTTGAACCCTCGGCAAATTCTCTTACTCTGAGACTGAGATCCTCATGGTGCCTGGAATTTTATAATACCTTCTGGAAACACAAAAACTATCGATTTTAATCTCAATTCAGCTACTGAGTCTGTGGTCTTTTCTACTTAAAGCCACAAAATTGTTTATGTTCTGGTTGTAGTTTAATTTTGTCTTGTTTTAAGCTTTCTTACTTGATTTCTGCCCAATCAATAAGATAGGCCATACATTTAATCTGCTTCTGTCATCAAGACAGCTGAAAATCCTGCTGATTTTTCAATTTACTATGAGTAAGTTCAACCTGCATGTAAACTCAGTCCACTTTTCATCAGCTCTGTGACAGCTTTCTCATCTGTAATATGAGAAACCACCCACCTAGGTCGTAGAGTCATTGGAAGAATTATATAATAAACAAGACTGCATTGTATTTGGTGATTGGCAACATACATTTTCTTTTTTTTTTTTTTTTAAGATTTTATTTATTTATCTGAGAGAGAGAATGGGAGACAGAAAGCATGAGAGGGGGGAGGGTCAGAGGGAGAAGCAGACCCCCTGCCAAGCAGGGAGCCCGATGCGGGACTCGATCCCGGGACTCCAGGATCATGACCTGAGCCGAAGGCAGTCGCTTAACCAACTGAGCCACCCAGGCACCCCGGCAACATACATTTTCTTAATAAAACAAGAACAGCACATGTCTCCAAGAAGAGAGACACCAGATTTCTTGGCTGCTCTGTATATTGCAGCACTTGGCGGGTGCTTGACAAAAATTCTTCAATCAAGGCGATTGTATTAATTAATAAGGATAAGTATTGATTTTTTGCAGTTCTGTACTAATTATAATTTAGCCTTCCCTTTAAAAAAATTTTTTATGGAGGTATAACATGCATACAGAAAATGGGTAAATGTTGCCATGTGATGAATTTTCACAAATGAACATACCGGTGTAACCAACACTCAGCTAAAGAAGCAGAATATTTCCAGCATCCCAGGAGTGCCCCGTGTGTCCCAGCCCAGGCATTGGAAGACCCCAAAGAAAACCACTATCCTGACTTCTAACGCTGGGGATGAGTTTTGTTTGTTTTACCATTTTTTTTATACATGAAGTTATACAGTATCAGTACAGACCTTTCTGAAGCTTACTTAAGTTTCCCAAGTAAAGAAGGTCTAAGCCCCGAAGAAGTTTGTCTTTTCTAGGCTGACTTGAGGAAGGAGGGCAGAGGGAGGGTGAGAAGTAGGGGAACCATATAATTTGTCATCCACACCGGAACACCTCTGAAAGTGAAAGAAGGTGCTATTCACAATGATGCTGGGACCAAGGGCATACACAGTGACTGTCCCCAGCAAACCAGGACATGTAACCATCCTGGTGAGAAGGACTGGTAAGAGGCAGCAGGGACACACTGGCAGGGAAAATCTATCTTCATGGTCATAAGACAGAATCCCTTCACATGGCCTGAGATGTCTGCGAGACTGAGGGCCAGGGGCCCATTTCCCAGAGAGTGCGGTCACTGGTAAAACTCTGCTCAACAAGTATTTACTGAGTTCCGGCTCCATGCAAGGAGCACGAAGATAACTCAGGCACAGTCCCTGCCCACGGGAAGCTCAGGGTTGAATAGTGGCTAGAAGACAAGTTCACAAACAGGTAAACTGTAAGGAAGCTGTCAGTGGAAATATACAAAGTACTATATAGATTCCAAGGACATAAACAAAGTGTTATATGGATTCCAGGGGATGAGAGATCATGTCCACTGGTAAACATGGAAAAGACATCATGGGGGAGGTAGCAGTTAAGAAGAATTTAGATACTACTTCAATGGTTCCCATCAGTGACTACACATTAGAATCTCCTGGGGAGCTTTTCAAACTCCGAATACCAAGGCAGTACCCCCAGAACAATTAAATCAGAATCTCTAGAAACAGGATCCAGGCCTAAGCTCTCCCAGATAATTCCAGCGAAAAATCAAATTTGAGAACCCCTATTCTAGAAAGAAGGGCCTAGGCCTTGGCTGGCAGGGTAGGTAGGAAAGAGAGGAGACTGGAGAGAACAGCTGTTAGTTAGAATATTCCATCTTTGATAGGCACACAGAGAAGGATCCTCCCTTGGGAATTAAATATGGAGGAAAAGCAGCAGGGCAAAAATAATTTAACCCCCTTCAGGAAAAAAATTAATTAATTATGAAACCATTTGCTAAGGCCAATAACAGGGATGGATGGGCAAAGGATGCACTGAACATCAAGGGAACTCAGAGTGGTAATAAATCCATCATAAATCATACAAGCCATCTGATAACTCCTGTTCCTCACATTAGCATCCCATTAAGCCTCTATTAGGGAGAGCAGGCTGAATGAAACTGGCTTCCTGGCTTCGCACTAGCAGCCGGGAGAGAGTTAACAAGCTGCAACCTTTCACTCGCACCTTTAAGGTCCTGAGCTCCATTTGTAAAGGATGCTTAGAGGCCCCAAACCTTGACCTATCACGCTCATGCTGCGGGAGTTTGGGGGGGCCAGAATTAATCACAGCAGGGACACAATTTACCGATCAATACTAGCCAATTAGAAGGCTCCCTGCAGTGGAGAGTTCCCTTGGAATGCCAGATGACCTTCGCCCTTGACTTTTTGTGGGGGCAGATGCTGCTTTATCGCAGCTACTGATAAGGATGGTACTGGGGGGTGCGCAGCTCATTTCACATCATGCCAACCCCACCAGAGCATCCCGAGGCCGAACTTCTTTTGGACTTACCCATGAGTCACCTGCCAGTGGAGGCCACAGGCAGACAGGGATGGAAATTACCAGTAATAAATTCACAGCCAACGTGCCACTTTTCCCGTGACCTCAGCCGTGACCCTCAAGAAGCCATTGACAACAGAAAGTAGCAACTCAATCTTTTCAGTGAATTCGCTAATGCGTCTCCTACTCCTATGCTATACGAGAGAGGAGATCCTGGGTCCTGGAGCACCCCCAGAGGTGGCCCAATTATTGTCACATCCATTTGCCAATGGCCTACAGTGGAACCACCTGGAGGAAAAAATCCTAGGAGCTACCATTGTGTCCTCTGATCTGGCTCAGAGACTCAGACACAGCTTGAGAGTGGGTCCCGGGACCTTCCGTCCACCCTGTACTCACGTGATCGCTGTTTGCCAGTACTGTCAGTATTTTTTTTTATCGATTTTCTAACATCTTGGCCACAGAGGTGATATTCCCTAGGATAGAAAAGTTTAGAAGAAGAAAAGTAACTAGATAATTCTGGAAGGTTGTCTGAAGCATATCATTTAGTTTTCTGTCACTTATTTTTTAATTTTTATTTTAAGGAGAACAATCTATTGTTTAGAGCATTTCCTGGAAACTAGGACTTAAGGCATATGGCCCCAATCTCCTCTTGGTTTCATCTCCTCTTGAAAGATTTCAGTCATGGTTTCTTCAGATGTACACCTAAGGAACACTTCTCAACTCTCCTCCTAAGTAATGCCCTGCTTCCTGCCCCTAGAGAATCGTCGTTTTAAAAATAAGGAAAATAAAACAAAGTTTTGAGCTGACTTTAGTTCAGTAAAGGCCTACAGCAAATCATACTGTGATTCCCTCCCCACAACTATGAAGAATACCCTTGTAGGGAAAAAGCAAATTTTGGAAGGTCAATCTAGGATTTGTGAGTGGTATGTTAGGGATAGCATCATAGATTTTGTCTTAGGTAGGAGGGGGACACTTTCGTGAATTAATGATGCGTGTGGATTAGATTCAAGAATATTGGAATATTTAAGTGCACCACTTGGCAAGAGCCATCCTCTTTCTGTCTCTGCTTTCTCCCATCCGAGTACTAACCAGGCCCAACTCTTCTTTGCTTCCGAGAACAGGCGAGATCGGGTGTGTTCAGGGTGGTATGGCCATAGACCTGTCTCAGCCTTCTTATTCACTAAGTCCCCAAGTGACTAACTCTCTAAGCCCCTCCCCAAACATGCAACGGTCATCTGACCTGAGGGATGACCTCCTCCCTGTTCTTTACTTTTATAAAAAGGGACAATTGTCACCTTCCTATCTCATCTACAAGCTTTGCAATGTCTGCTGTGCTGCAGTCTTGCCAAAAGCATTTAGCCTGAATCTTATCATGAGGAAAAAATTCAGACAAATCCAAATCAAGGGACATAGATGTGTGTGTGCATGTGTGTGTGTGTGTGTGCCCGTGCACACATGTACCCATGTACACAAAAGTGGCAAAATGTTAAAAAAAAAAAAAATCATTCAGTCTGGTGAAGATTATCAGGATTCTATTACTTTTTCAACTTTTCTGTAGGTTCAACATTTTTTTATTGTTATGTTAATCACCATACATTACATCATTAGTTTTTGATGTAGTGTTCCATGATTCATTGTTTGTGCCTAACACCCAGTGCTCCATGCAGAATGTGCCCTCTTTAATACCCATCACCAGGCTAACCCATCCTCCCACCCCCCTCCCCTCTAGAACCCTCAGTTTGTTTTTCAGAGTCCATCGTCTCTCATGGTTCGTCTACCCCTCCGATTTCCCCCCCTTCATTCTTCCCCTCCTGCTATCTTCTTTTTTTTTTTCTTAACATATATTGCATTATTTGTTTCAGAGGTACAGATCTGTAATTCAACAGTCTTGCACAATTCACAGTGCTGACCATTGCACATACCCTCCCCAGTGTCCATCACCTGGCCTCCCCATCCCTCCCACCCCACCCACCACTCCAGCAACCCTCAGTTTGTTTCCTGAGATTAAGAATTCCTCATATCAGTGAGGTCATATGATACATGTCTTTCTCTGATTGACTTATTTCGCTCAGCATAACACCCTCCAGTTCCATCCATGTCTTTGCAAATGGCAAGATCTCATTCCTTTTGATGGCTGCATAATATTCCATTATATATATATACCACATCTTCTTTATCCATTCATCATTGATGGACATCTTGGCTCTTTCCACAGTTTGGCTATTGTGGACATTGCTGCTATAAACATCAGGGTGCACGTACCCCTTTGGATCCCCACATTTGTATCTTTGGGGTAAATACCCAGTAGTGCAATTGCTGGATCGTATGGTAGCTCTATTTTCAACTTTTTGAGGAACCTCCATACTGTTTTCCAGAGTGGTTGCACCAGCTTGCATTCCCACCAACAGTGTAGGAGGGTTCCCCTTTCTCTGCATCCCCACCAACATCTGTCGTTCCCTGACTTGTTAATTTTAGCCATTCTGACTGGTGTGAGGTGGTATCTCATTGAGGTTTTGATTTGGATTTCCCTGATGCTGAGCGATGTTGAGCACTTTTTCATGTGTCTGTTGGCCATTTGGATGTCTTCTTTGGAAAAATGTCTGTTCATGTCTTCTGCCCTTTTCTTGATTGGATTCTCTGTTCTTTGGGTGTTGAGTTTGATAAGTTCTTTATAGATTTTGGATACTAGCCCTTTATCTGATATGTCATTTGCAAATATCTTCTCCCATTCTGTCGGTTGTCTTTTGGTTTTGTTGACTGTTTCTTTTGCTGTGCAAAAGCTTCTTATCTTGATGAAGTGCCAATAGTTCATTTTTGCCCTTGCTTCCCTTGCCTTTGGCGATGTTTCTAGGAAGAAGTTGCTGCAGCTGAGGTCGAAGAGGTTGCTGCCTCTGTTCTCCTTTAGGATTTTGATGGACTCCTGTCTCACATTTAGGTCTTTCAACCATTTTGAGTCTATTTTTGTGTGTGGTGTAAGGAAATGGTCCAGTTTCATTCTTCTGCATGTGGCTGCCCAATTTTCCCAACACCATTTGTTGAAGAGACTGTCTTTTTTCCATTGGACATTCTTTCCTGCTTTGTCAAAGATTAGTTGACCATAGAGTTGAGGGTCCCTTTCTGGGCTCTCTATTCTGTTCCATTGATCTATGTGTCTGTTTTTGTGCCAGTACCATACTGTCTTGATGATGGCAGCTTTGTAATAGAGCTTGAAGTCCAGAATTGTGATGCTGCCAGCTTTGCTTTTCTTTTTCAACATTCCTCTGGCTATTCGGAGTCTTTTCTGGTTCCATACAAATTTTAGGATTATTTGTTCCATTTCTTTGAAAAAAGTGGATGGTATTTTGATAGGGATTGCATTGAATGTGTAGATTGCTCTAGGTAGCACTGACATGCTCACAATATTTGTTCTTCCAATCCATGAGCATGGAACGTTTTTCCATTTCTTTGTGTCTTCCTCAATTTCTTTCATGAGTATTTTATAGTTTTCTGAGTACAGATCCTTTGCCTCTTTGGTTAGATTTATTCCTAGGTATCTTATGGTTTTGGGTGCAATTGTAAATGGGATTGACTCCTTAATTTATCTTCCTTCTGTCTTGTTGTTGGTGTATAGGAATGCCACTGATTTCTGTGCATTGATTTTATATCCTGCCACTTTACTGAATTCCTGTATGAGTTCTAGCAGCTTTGGGGTGGAGTCTTTTGGGTTTTCCACATAAAGTATCATATCATCTGCAAAGAGTGAAAGTTTGACTTCTTCTTTGCTAATTTGGATGCCTTTTATTTCTTTTTGTTGTCTGATTGCTGTGGCTAGGACTTCTAATACTATGTTGAATAGCAGTGGTGATAGTGGACATCCCTGCTGCGTTCCTGACCTTAGGGGGAAAACTCTCAGTTTTTTCCCCTTGAGAATGATATTCACTGTAGGTTTTTCACAGATGGCTTTTATGATATTGAGGTATGTACCCTCTATCCCTATACTCTGAAGAGTTTTAATCAAGAAAGGATGCTGTACTTTGTCAAATGCTTTTTCTGCATCCATTGAGAGGATCATATGATTCTTGTTCTTTCTTTTGTTAATGTATTGTATCACGTTGATTGATTTGCGGATGTTGAACCAACCTTGCAGCCCAGGGATAAATCCCACTTGGTCATGGTGAATAATCCTTTTAATGTACTGTTGGATCCTATTGGCTAGTATTTCGGTGAGAATTTTTGCATCCATGTTCATCAAGGATATTGGTCTGTAATTCTCCTTTTTGATGGGGTCTTTGTCTGGTTTGGGGACCAAGGTAATGGTGGCCTCATGAGTATGGAAGTTTTCCTTCCATTTCTATGTTTTGGAAGTTTCAGAAGAATAGGTATTAATTCTTTAAAAGTTTGGTAGAATTCCCCTGGGAAGCCATCTGGCCCTGGGCTTTTGTTTGTTGGGAGATTTTTGATGACTGCTTCCATTTCCTTAGTGGTTATAGGTCTGTTCAGGTTTTCTATTTCTTCCTGGTTCAGTTTTGGTAGTTGATACATCTCTAGGAATGCATCCATTTCTTCCAGATTATCTAATTTGCTGGCATAGAGTTGCTCATAATATGTTCTTATAATTGTATTTCTTTGGTGTTGGTTGTGATCTCTCCTCTTTCATTCATGATTTTATTTATTTGTGTCCTTTCTCTTTTCTTTTTGATAAGTCTGGCCAGGGGTTTATCAATCTTGTTAATTCTTTCAAAGAACCAGCTCCTAGTTTAATTGATCTGTTCTACTGTTCTTTTGGTTTCTATTTCATTGATTTCTGCTCTGATCTTTATGATTTCTCTTCTCCTGCTGGGTTTAGGCTTTATTTGCTGTTCTTTCTCCAGCTCCTTTAGGTGTAGGGTTAGGTTGTGTATTTGAGACCTTTCTTGTTTCTTGAGAAAGGCTTGTATTGCTATATACTTTCCTCTTAGGACTGCCTTTGCTGCATCCCAAAGATTTTGAACAGTTGTGTTTTCATTTCATTGGTTTCCACAAATTTTTTTAATTCTTCTTTAATTTCCTGGTTGACCCATTCATTCTTTAGTAGGATGCTCTTTAGCCTCCATGTATTTGAGTTCTTTCCAACTTTCCTCTTGTGATTGAGTTCTAGTTTCAAAGCATTGTGGTCTGAAAATAGGCAGGGAATGATCCCAATCTTTTGGTACCAGTTGAGACCTGATTTATGACCTAGGATGTGATAGATTCTGGAGAATGTCCCATGGGCACTAGAGAAGAATGTGTATTCCGTTGTTTTGGGATGGCATGTTCTGAATATGTCTGTGAAGTCCATTTGGTCCAGTGTGTCATTTAGAGTCTTTATTTCCTTGTTGATCTTTTGCTTAGATGATCTGTCCATTTCAGTGAGGGGGGTGTTAAAGTCCTCCACTATTATTGTATTGTTGTCAATGTGTTTCTTTGCTTTTGTTATTAATTGGCTTATATAATTGGCTGCTCCCATGTTAGGGGC